TTTCCATGGACTGCAGAACCTTTTACTATTAGATAATCTGTAAATTCGTTTATCACTTTAATGCTCTATAAGAAAAACCAAAGCTGGTCTTTTATATTGTGGGCTTATTTCATTAAAGTTAATAATAGGATGTGGAGCTCCTTTTTTTAGGAGTAGATCTAGGCAGGTGATTAGTGCAACAATCTCACCTGTTATTTATCCGTATTGTAAACAATATGTGCTGATTTAAATTTTTATGTCATTATTAAAGTATTGTTTCATTACAAAAAATTAAAACATCAGTGATTTAATAGAGGTAAAAAAGAAATATTTAAGAAGTTTGAACCAATTCCATTACACGGCTATATTTTCTCGTAGATTCAGAAATATCGATGATCGTTGCGTTTTACAACGTCGTTCCTAGTCTTATCGCGCTGACTCGAAGGTTGAGCGTTTAAGAGAGACTATTACGTTCATATTGAATAAAGTTAGACGATTTTACCTGTCGTCTTTAAGACTTTTCTAAATTTACTGTCACAGCCTGTTAATAGGTCACTGCTGAACATAGGGCTCTAGGTATCTGTGATAGCCACGCTTGGTAGATAGGTTAGCGACCGCAGTTTTTATTTAATAAAATAAAAGTGACAAAGGAGCACAAAAGCCACTTGATGGTAAGTGCATGCTGTGGCCAAAAGACATCTACATCTTACCTTAATTAAAATCTTAATGCAGAGATGCTTTCTATACCAGGGTATCCATATCCATCTTAGTCCTCCTGAGGATTACCTAATTTCCTGTAAAATGGGGCTTCGGTTCTCTATAATAACCACAGGAAACACAGCAGCATTAAGCTGCTATTTCACGCTGATATCCCGGTCCCCAGTCGAGACGACTCATTTGTCGTCTTGTTATATATATATATATATATGTATCTATAAATATATATATATAGGTTCTTCACAATTGACATCGTTAAATTTTAACAAGTCTCCTATAAAGATGATATAAATACTGTAAGCTTGATGATCATTTCAAAAGTCAGTAAGTCGTTATCCAGAAGTAAATCGTTGAAAGGATGTTGCTTTATTTATGTTTTGACGTGTTGCGGCGAGCAAAAAGAGACGAAACTATAATTTCCGGTTGGGATTTTGAAAATATATTTCGATTCCCAATTTCTTTTAAGTTACGTCCGTAAAGCGAAATACAAGTAAAACCAGTGCTATATGAGTATATTTAAAGGAAATATATTCGTAAATTTTATGCATTAAAGTAAAACATATTAAAATATAATCATTGATTCAATCCTTCATTTCAATCTATCAAAAGTCCAACGCTGAATATTCGTCTCCCACATACATTTTATTATTGGTTTTTACGTGGTAGAGCCATGCTGCAACTATATTAGTAGTATAGTTGTAGCACGACTGGGTCGGCTCGACCGGGGAAGGACCGCGCTCTCACAGAATACCAGCGTCAAATAGCAGCTTAACAATGCTGTGTTTCGTATGGTGAGTGTAGAGAACCGGAGACCCTTTTTACTGGAAAAGAGGCATTCCATCTTAGTCCTCACGGGTGACAACGCATCTGCATTTTGATTCTTTATTGAGGATAGATGTGGATGTCTATGAGTCACAGCAACCACTTACAATCAGCTGGACTGTGTGTTCGTTTGTAACCCTATCCTATAAAAATACCATTGTTGCCACACCTGACATACGGGTTGATAACTGCAGTTTTTATGCTGCAGCACTTAATCGATTTAAAATGAAAAGATGCCACATTGCATAGCCAAACTTCTCGCTGCCATATTTGAAGAACTCACTGAGTATGTTGTCAGATCCTTTTGCTGTAATTTTAAACCTATGATTACTTTCTAAAAGTGAGAGACTTTTCCAGAATATCAGCACGTAAATATTGAGGCAGTTATCGTATGTAATTGAGGTCAGATAAACGAGATACATTGAGGTTTAAATGTTCTGTCCATCTTTTAAGCATATTTGCCTTGTCAGTTATAAACGAGCTAGCCAGAAACCCTAAAAGTCATTTACTTTTTACGAGGAACCGATAAGTTTAGGTATGTCAATAAAAATGTGTCCATCTGGTTGGCAGCAGGGAGCCACAGGATCCAACTAATTTAACACTTTTTTTTGAACGTTACCTATACATTAGCATTTTCTCCTGTATCGTGGGGGCAGTTTACATACATAAATTTCACAAGGACAAGCATCCAGTAGACCTACAACAATTCTTTGTAGCCCATACAAATACTAGTTCTGTGCGGGATTTAAACCCGCGGTCCTTTGCGATGCAACTCATTGCTATGTCACTGCACCAATGAGCCGTCAATTGCCACCATTTCTCTTCTGTACGGTTCAATTTTCTTAGCTCAGCTCAGCAAATTTAATCATGCATGGTACTACATTTATGTAGCAGGTAATTTTGTTACTTTATGTTTGGTGATATCTTCCGTGATAACTGTGTCGTTTTCCTGTCGTCCAGTATGCCTTGTTCAATACGAAATTCGATATTAAAACATAAGTGAAAAACGAACCCACAGTTCACCTGAAAGTAAGGTGCTACTGCTTTCCATGGGTACCTGCAGTTAATTTCAAACAAAGAAGTCTTGTCACCTCTAAGGATTAAGATGGAATTCCTCACCTTCAGATCGGCACACAGCAGTGCGAGCACTAATATTTGGTAACAGAAATAGGTAAAAGAATCCTACCATCTAGTAAAGTTAGTAAAATTAAATTTGGAAATAATGCTGCTATTTTCTTTTATAAACTTATATTTATTTTACTATGTATGTAGTTTATGTATACTTAATATTTTGATTCTGGTGGCTCTATGAGGTGGATGAAATTTTAAGTTTGGTAACGACGAACAATCTGTATCGTGCATTAACCGAGTGCATCTTTTGAGCTGTCTGGATGGCTAGCTATGGCGTTGCCTATTAAATGACAATGCTTAGATCTCGGATGCATCCAGTTTTTCTTGTATTTTGCGGGAATTAAAAACACTGTGTTGATAATGGTAAAATCATATTTCGCTCATAAGCTAAGCAGCAACATTTCTGTTCATTTTACTAACTCCGTGATTACTCAACAAACGAAACCAAGTCCCAATATCACTCATAACACGGGCAAGAACATTAATGTAACCCAGTAGTTAGATCTTCTCAATGTGTTTATTTCTAGAGTGTACATAGGAAATTTCCTCGTAGAATTTATCTTTTAAATAATAACTACGATACTAGTCGGTGAGATGTGTCATAAAACAAGAAGATGAACGAATCGTAAATGAAAAAATAATCCGTAGGGACTTTATTTAATTATTACAAATACTTCAAGGGCATTGGAAATTTTAAGAAAATCGGGGTTCTAATTCTCTGTTGACTCGACCACATTTCAAAGTTTTAGTACGTAACAGTGATATGATATGATCATCATGTCATCATGTCATCGACATGGGTATTACATTAGTAATTAGTTCGGACAATGTTGTTGTAGAAATTGTTTAAAAAATTACTTATTTTTTATATTATTTGCATTCTTAATATCATTGGGAAGGGTATTCCAAAGATATATAGCCTGTACCGTTAAATAGGATTTAAGAAGATTTGACCTGTGCTATGCAAAATATCTTTCTTTTAAAATATGACTGTTTTAAATGAAATACATTTCAAGTAAGGTTTTATTTTTACTACAGATCTACCAAACAAACCCTTCACAAAATATTTGTAGCAGAAAAGAGAGTTCTTAAGTAACTTTATACAACGATCGTCGAGTTTTACTACGTGTTAGTTATTTTGTTTAGCGTTGTTCTTTATACACAAAGACCTTTAACATTACTTACTTGGAAAGGTAGTAAATAGTTACCGTCCACCTCGTTGTTTTATATATTGCAACAACAAGTAATAAGACGAAGACTTGATAAATACTTCTTCCTTTATATCTTGCAGGGTAAAGACGAATAGGCTTTTTATTTATATACCAGTAGGTATGGCAACACTTTCCAACCAACGTGGAATTCATCAGAATAGGTACTTCACCCTATAAGCCGCATTCGATCTAAATGGGATGAAACTTGTCGAAGTAAATTCAAAATGGTAGTTCTAAAGCGAAGTAAAATAAACCAAGAAGTTCTAAATGCTTAATTTTATTTATTTGTACGAATAACTAGATACCTTTGCCAACTATTATTTTTACTGCCTTAGAGACAAGAACAAAGGTGGTCTACCTTTGTTCTTGTTTCGAAAATCTATCAACTGCTAGAATTATTTCGCGTTCGCCCTCATTTATTATCTACACAAAAATATAAGTCATAAAAACAACAAAGAAAATAATCATAATAAACACGAGCTAACTTCTATGAAATAACATGTCTCGCGAGCTATGACGTAAGTGGTGACGAAATGACAGGCGGGCCATCAAGTGATCCACTCCCAAAAGGTTGAATCCCTATCTGAACTCGTGCGGGTAATAAATACTTCTTACTGTCGTGAGGCAGCAGTCCATATTTTATAGTGTTTTATATGAAGTGTGTTTTTTTTTTTAATATAGGATAAGGGTGACAAACGAGCACACAGTCCACCTGATGGTAAGTGGTTGCTGCGGCCCATAGACATCTACATCTATCCCCGTTTAAGGATCAAAATGCAGATGCGTTGTCACCCGTGAGGACTAAGATGGAATGCCTCATTTCTAGTAAAAAGGGCCTCCGGCCACCTGCACTCCCCAAGCGAAACGCAGAGGTAAACCTCTACTTCACGCTGGTATTCTGTGAGGTCGTGGTACCACTCCGGTTCGAGCTGGCCCATCCGTGCGACAGCAAAAGCTGCCGCGTGGCTCTACCACTGTTAAGTTGTATGTGTGTGATCTTAAAAAAGACATTAAAATTACTGCTTCAAAGCATGTATAATTACATCCCAGGCTTTATGTTGATAACGCATCTTTATCATTATTTTTTTAACACTTCCATAGCCAATCACGCCATCACATGTCTATATAATATGACGTCACATGTCGGCGCTGTTATTCAATTTGGCTCATCGCGTGTCCGCGCTGCTAATCGATTTTGCACGTCGCGTGTAAAACTCATATTAATTTGTAGCATACTCTGCGAACAATAGCGTAGTAGCACATTAATTTGTAAAGGGCCTCTCGGGCAACGATTGAACTATCGAAAAAGGTGAAAAGGCTAATTGAATCACGTAAAGTACCTGGTATGCTCGAGGTTAAATTAACTAAACAAAAACTCATATTTTTGTTTAGTTAATAATATAAAATTAAAAATGGTGTACAACCGACTTCAATATAAATTATTAAGAATAACTCAAAAACGATTGGTCATATATTGATCAAATTTAGACTACACGAGAAGCACCAGCTTTCAAACATAAAAAGAACCATCGAAATCGGTTCACCCAGAAAAAAGTTATGATGTAACACATAAATATATTGGTAAATCAAAAATTGTGCATGCCTTAAGCGTATTAAAAATTACGTATAATATAGTTATACTAAACTTTTAAAGTATTTTAATTACTTACAATTTTTCACTAAAAACCTTATAATTGTTACTATACTTCAAATATTACTATAGTTCTCCTCGTCGAGGAGTTCCTGTAGCAGTCATCAAAGTACACTTTGAAGTCACTCTATCAATTCCGGAGGTAAGGACTCATCATAACTAACAAAACGAGCCCAAACTCGGCACATTTGTCCAACAAGTCCAAGACGTATAAGTATATTTATATATAAATTAATCATGCGTGCTTTTAGGAAAACAAAATATTGTAATAAAAATATGTGATTATAAAAATAATAATAATATCTTACCTTGCTCAAGTATGTAACAAATTTGGTTTTTGGTATATTTTATATTTCTACGGCGATCCTTTTCGCTGCAAACAAGCGATACAATATCCACTAACAATGGCGGCCGAGGCCAGAATCACAGACTAACTAGTAGATTCTAACCGAATGCCGGAATGACGAATGGAGGAGTGAAACAGTGTATTTAGTAGAATAAATTTATACAAGGCTCACAAACCACCGAAAATTTCACCATTTCTTAGCAGAAAAAAATTAATTATAAATGAACTCGGGAGATGAAGAATTTTAAAAATAGATTAAGTTGAACAATTAATATTTTCAAAAGTTATCGTGTTTACGCCACCATGCGGACTTGATAAATCCACAACAAAAGCCACTAAACCTTTTTATGTAAAAATAGCAATTAATCGATTTAAAAAAAAATTATAAGTTCAACAATCATTTATCTTTCTGACAATGGGATTTTTATATAATTTATATATATAATATGATTGCTAGATACGATTTTATTCGTCAAAACGTTGAAATCTTAATTTTTAGGCCCTAGCATCGTTTGTAATTTTAGTTTAAAAAAAAACTTTTTTACAATATTATGGAAACAAGTCCATGATAAATGGCTCCTGTGGCCCTTGATGAAATTTAAACTAAAGAAACAGGCCACTTTATTTTAAACTAAGACTGTAAGGCAAACTTAATACGGAATGCCTTACGGTCTATAATTATACCTGCTATCTTGTTATTCAAAACGCAATACAGAATACGAGGCAGAAAAAGAGCGATACCGCCTATTATATACCTTTCTTCGTTTCCCGTGTAATGGCGGTGTGAGAATATCTACTACCCCATATCATCCCGCGGGTGTTGTAAGAGGTCACAGAGGAAAATTTAAACAGGTGATGAGCAACAGCATTACCCTGAAAACAACTCATAATAATAAAAAAGTGCCATTGATAATCCAATCGCTGAGCTTATCAACTATGGCAAAATCCGGCAATTAACGGGGAGGCCTATGTTCAGTGGACTTTTATAGGCTGTAATGGATGGACGGATGGCCTTTCAGCTTCCGATGCAGTGACCGATAATTACAATAAATAAAAATAAAAAAGCAATGGTTTTTGTTTTCGAAAAATATTGGGTTTGTCTATTATTTAACCCGCCATGTCATCGTGTGGAAAGATAATACACTACCTCACTTCTTCCCTTGGAGTGTCGTAAGAGTTGACAGAAGGAAACTGGTACAGAAGATGGGCTGCAACATCTCAAAATCATAAAAAATCTTCGGTAGCCAATCCGGCTGCCATGTGTAGCAACTGTGGCAGATATTTTCCCTATGAGGCAATCTATGGGGGAGGCCTATGTTCAGCAGTGGACTTTGATAGGCTGTTATGATAATAGTGATGAATGATGATGATGGTTTGACCCGGGACTCGCAATTCTGTATCCCACTTCAATTTCCTTGCGATCAATGAAAAAGCCACTCATTATTTTCAGTAGTTACTTTATCAGTATATCACATCAAGTTAATAAGTATGAGCAGTAAACGAATGATAGGTTTATATACGAAATTAAGTAGTCCATTTACATCACTCGCTCGCGAACTAACCAAGTCTGCTTAGTATCGTCTATTATCAAGTACTTATAAGAAACGGCCACTATTATAGATCTAAAATATAAAGGGAAAACATCTACTATATGACTTTTACATATCAGAAAAATTAATTCAATTTACAATAGCACCAAATATATTTTGACGCTTGCTACGCCTTCTCCATTAAGATAACTTAATTACTACGACAGTCCCTTTGTCTTTCATTATTAGATTTTTTTTGTTACAATACCGACGTTTATTCCTTTCATAGCATATTTCCTATTATCTTAGATATAGTTCTATAGTTAGATATAGTCAAATTTGGTACCTAGTAAGTCAATGAAGGTCCAGAATAAGTAACCAAATATCACTGTATTTACTAGCCAATAATTACTTAGGAACGTCGGTTTTACATACACTTTTAAATTAATAACTATCCTTCTTCATCAGCTCGTCATAACCAACAGTTGGGCAAGAGCTTCTCCAGTTGTAGCGTTTATCCATAATAATTGACACGCTTTGCAGCCAAATATCATTTAATACCAACAGAGTATATAATTAAAATAAGGTAAAAGAAAATAAACAGGATTTCCGCTTGCGCCGCCGCTCTCGAGCGGACGTGTACAAGTCGACCGCACTTTCGTACCCGTACGTTAGTGCCCTCTCGCTCTCACGCCTCCACTCTCCTGCTCACGTTATGCAGCGCTATCGCTTTGATGAGTCTTTCGCCGCTAACACTTAGTTCTTGACCCCCTGCCTCCTGGCGAGGAGGTTTGACTGACCACTGTCTGCTTTTTTAAGTTTTTCTTGTTATCAGTTCTTGTTAATTGTCTTGTTAATTTTCCTTTTTTGTTATTACTTTGTTATACCGTGAATATTGCTCCTCGGAAAACGTCACTTGTTCTTTGCAGAATAAGACCCTGTTCTTTTGAGAACAGTGATCCCCGCCCTTACTGTTAGAGTAAAACGTCGCCACCCTCCCTCAACATGTCCACAGGAGACCTCATTAGGTCGATCCTTGCCGCCCTGAACCACTCCCATCAGTTGCCCCTTAGGCATGCCCCGCAACGCCCTTCATCCCGCACGGCCTTTCTGGCGGCCAACCCGGCTGCCCCGCAGTCCAACTCATTCGCGTCCCTCGACATGAAGTGCTCGGCAAGAGGTCCTCCACCGAAACTAAGTTCGGCATTAGTTCATCAGAGTCGTCTGACTCCGACAGAACCGGCGAGTCTGTGTTCACCACAGTAACCTCCAAGCGCGGCCGTAAAAGCGCCGCAAAAAATCGCACCCCTCCCGTTTCGGCGGCCTCTGCCGCGTCTTCAAACACCGAAGCCCCCGTAGCTGCCTCTGCCCCCGCAGCTTCCGCTGCCGTTTCCAACCCCGCAGGCCTCGCCGCTGCTTCGGTCCCACTACTGTCACTAGACATCCGCCCGCCGCCCAAGCCAGCCTCTCGCTGCGCTCCTACCCTGGCTAAAAAGCAGGTCCCACCCCCTGTCTTCTTAAGAGACAAGGCAAAGTTCACTCACCTTTCAAAAACCTGTTACGACACAGGTATGAAATACGACCAGGCCACTAACGTACCACCAGCCAACGAAATCATTCCTCAGTCGATCGACGACTTTCGCCGCCTTACCAGTATATTCACATCCGAGCGTGTGTCCTACCACACGTACGATCTTCTGGAAGAGCGTAAAGTCAGGGCCGTGATCCGCGGTGTCCCATTTGAACTCGCCAATGAGGACACCCTTGAGGACCTTAAGTTCCAATGATTCACTTTTGAGGCCGTGCACAAAATGCACAGCAACAAAGGTAAGAGGTTTCCGCTTGCCCTTGTGATCCTCACGAACGTGCCGGAGGCTACAGCCATCTTCCGGCAGGTATGCACTGTGTGCGGCCTGTCGAGAGTGAGAGTTGAGTCCCCACACAGGCGTGGTTTCCTGGCGCAATGCCACCGCTGCCAACTTTATGGGCATGCGGCGGCCAACTGCTCCGCCCCTCCCAGGTGCGTTAAGTGCCTAGACCCACACAGCTCGAAAGAGTGTCCTCGGCTCCAAAACGCCGAAACCCCACCCACGTGTATCCTGTGCCAGCAGACTGGCCACCCGGCGAACTACAGAGGCTGCCCTTGTGCTCCTCACATTCGTCCCAGCAGACAAGCTCCACCGCTGGTCAATGTCAGATCATTCTCGGCTCTCCCGTCAAGAATGCCCCGTCAGGGGATTTCACAGCCCCTTCAGGGCCTCTCGACCCTATCAGGGTCCCTCAAGGCCCCTTCAGGGCCTCTCGACCCTATCAGGGTCCCTCAAAGCCCCTTCAGGACGCTCTTTGGCCCCCTCTGGGCTTCGCAGCCTCCAGTCTTTCCCTGGGGCCCCAAAAAGCCAACCCTCCGCGGACATCCTCCGCACATCAGTATAAACAACCCTCAATGGTTGATGACCTAGATACGGTGTATTCCGCTATTAGCAACATCAATATTGGGGAGATTGCCGTCTTAGCACGCAATTTGCGCGCTGCTCAGTCCCTTCAGGACCGTCTCGTCGCTCTTACAGGGCATCATAACCTTTTGTGCTCATTGTAACTTGAATTAGTTTAATTTAAGTTAATTTAAATTGAATAAATTAAAAGTTGCATTATATAATCGCAGAGTACTCTGTTCTTCTAAAA